TAAAATTTAAAGAGGAAGGAATGGATAAAAATCATGACTAAGAGTTAGTAGCTGAGCTTATTGGAGAAGTGATGATTTCCAAGTCACCACCATCCCAAATGATACTGTTCTGAAGTTGAGTAGTGACTGCTACTATCCAGCACAGTTCCGTATCTTCTAGGCTCAGAAGACCTCAGACTGTTAACTCATGGCTGTTTAGCAACAGAGAATAAATTATTACTTGCCACAGTTTGTGCTAGGTTAGGGTAAAGTCAACCAGGGTCCAGTGCAACTCCTGATTGCTGCTTGCATTGTGTCAGTGCTTATGGAAAACATGCTCTGTTTTATTCCTCCCCACTGATTTAACTCCAGGGCTGGATTTTCTCCTGGAAGGCCACCCATTCTGGGGCAGTAGAGGGCTGGTCAATGCATGAAAATGAGGTGAATAGACCTTATGGTGTTTCTTGACATTTAGCCCATAGTTTGATGCACACATGAAAGATGGGAAAGTGGGACAAAGTAGAAATCGGTAATCAAGCTTGGTGGAGGCTTATGTGAAGTCTGTCAACTTGCATTGTCCAATTCGGTGATTTGTTCTGTTTCTGTAAATTCCATGAGCAATTGGGATAAGCATTATGAGATGAGAGAATTGCGATGAGAAGAAATAAAATGTTTTTTTTTTGAAGCCTCCAGTCCATTCACAGACATAGAATCATTGAGTAATATAGCACGGAAACAGACTCTTCAGCCCAACTTGTCCATGCCGATCAGGTTTCCTAAACTAAACTACTTCTATCTGTCTGCATTTGGCCCATATCCCTCTAAACCTTTCCTATTCCTGTACCTGTCCAAATACCTTTTAAATGTTGTAATTGCCTCTGCAACTTCTTCTGGCAGCTCATTCCATGTACACACACATTCCATGTGTGAAAACATTGTTCCCCAGGTCCCTTTTAAAGCATTCCCCTCTCACCTTTACTTACGCCGTCTAATTTTAGACTCCCTTACCTTCCAGAAAAGACTTTGGCTATTCACCTTATCTATGCCCTCATGATTTTATAAACTTTTATCAGGTCACCCCTGAGCCTCCTACGTTCCAGGGAAGAAAGTCTCAGCCTCTCCTTAAGAACGCCAACCAATGCATCTCAAAAGTTCCTACTAATGTGATCACAGGGCAGATTAAGCTCTTGTTTGGTGTTTAAAGTCAAACATGAGGAATGGGTGGCGTTGGAATAAAAGAACGTATGGGAATCCTTCATCTTTGCTTCCCAATAAAGTTTCAGTGTCAGATTATGAGACGCAAATTGCCAAAACATCATGTTAAACTTCTGCTGGTTTCAACTGAGATGACGATTTGTAGACACACATTTGGTATACTTCGAACACTGTGCATCAATCATGCATAAACTGGGACTCTCAGGTTCTGCAGTAGTTAATGGGCTGATACAAAGTCAAACAAAGTTCCTTGTTTTTCTTAAATGATGTATTGTGTTGGATCATATTTTCTTGTTGACAGTAATTCTCTTGGGGTTTCTCAAAAAAATTAGAAAAACTTTATTTCAGCCATTTCCCAATGTTCAGTTTAAGCTTGGAGACATCTGGTTATTTAATTTCCCAACTGGAAAGAGTTGGGGTTGAATCCTGCCTTGATGCCATGTTAGTTAATTTCAAATCCAGCTATAAAGGAAATAGGACTTGGCTAATGGTTTGTCCAAGAAAGCACTTTATGAACAAAAATTTAAATGTGAAACAAGATCATTGAGTTGCACAGTACGTACAATGTGTTTTTAGTTAAAATACATGAATAGAAAATATCAGCAATTGTATACTCATTGAATGTAAACAAAAGATAAAACTTTTTTATGCTTGTGTGAGGTCATGGTTGCTTAATGTAATCACATTTACTTTACTAATTGCTAAAATCACATGTGTTACCCCATTGCATTAAGCCTTTGCCCTCACTGCACTGATTTTCATCTTGACTAAAAACCCATTATAAAACATAACAACACCTCAGGATGCAGTTGCTAATGGCTCACAGATGCATTTTCTGAGCAGTTTACTGAATGCCCAACTAAAGCTGACAATTTTCATTCAGCAAGGTCAGTAGTACCAGGCAAAATGGGATGAATGCACTTAGCAGAGGAATTTGGGTTTGGAATTTTTGTGGTCTCTTGAGTTCATTTTCGGGAGGATTGGAAGCCATTTCTGTCTACTACTGTTCTCCTCTTTTAAAAAAATGGCAAATTACTTTTTGTCTACCAAGATCACATTGGTTGCCTGAGATTTCACTGGTGGCATTTCAGATGAAACAAGGAGGAATTTTACTCTAATATTTCATCAGTGCTGTTTGCAAGTTGGAGGACCATGATCCCTAATTCAGGAAAGAATGATTGCGACAGTGAACAAGGCATGAAGCAACCTAACTCATTGTATCAATGGTGGCAAAACATCAGTGCCATGAATTTTTGTTAATTTTTTTTGAGAAATGTTCCTCTTGACCAAACAAAAACCTCCCCACCTGTTGCCAGCTGCAACGTGATACCCACACTCCCCTTCCAGTATTTAGCCTGCAGTTTAAACAGCATCTCATTCACTTCCTTAAGGACCACCTTTCACTGCTACAAGAGCAACTGCAGCAAATGCAAGGGAACATCATCACCAAGTTTTCCTTCAATCACACACCATTCTAACTGAAAAATGTTGCCATTTCTTCACTGTCATTTAAACTAACTTCCAAGTAACATCTCAGTGTATTTACACCACATGAATTGCTGCATGTCAAAAACGTGCTTTGCCACCTTTTTCTTAAGTACAGTTAGGGACGGACTATAAAACCTACTCTGGACAGTGATGGTCACATTCCATTCAGTAATAAATTTAGGAAAAGCTTAGATCCACAGTGTATCCATCATTGTCTTCCTTTCCATTAATATCTGCTCTGAGGGAATTGCACGACCATCAAAATTCAGACCGACCGTGCCTAAGTTCCATATCATGATGAACCTAACATCTCTCTCAGCATCTTTACAAATGGGAACATAGAAGCAGTCACCAGATGATACACTGCTGAAGGTTGTGTTTGTCTGAATAGAATAAAACCTCCTTCAATATTTTCCAGAGATAGTAGGAACTGCCGATGCTGGAGAATCTGAGATAACACGGTGTAGAGCTGGATGAACACAGCAGGCCAAGCAGCTTCAGAGGAGCAGGAAAGCTGACGTTTCAGGTTGAGACCCTTCTTCTTTTTTCTGAAAAAGGGTCTCGACCCGAAACATCAGCTTTCCTGCTCCTTTGATGCTGCTTGGCCTTCAATATTTTCCAGATTGTTTGTTTGTTTCTGCTTGTCATGTTAAACGTTCTGTGTGCTAATAAGCAATGAACAGTAAAATTGTTCACATTCCCGGACTTTAGTAGTATTTTCACCAGTCATTCCAGAGAAAAATTAAGAAAAATGGCTGCCTGTCTAATTCGAGAAAGTGCAAAACTTTGAATCTGAATTCACCCATTTCTGAAGTAAGTAGAATGTGAAGCCTGATGTCTCAGGATTAATACTGTATCAATACTGTATCGTTATTATCAAACAAGTTCAAAAACTGGCCCAGTTGGTAAATGTACTGCTTAGCTGTGGAGTTCTATTTGTCATGCCAGCTTACTGTTAGCTGCCCTCAGCCGCCATATTGCCGATTAGCACCAGTGCACCTAATCTTGACAAGTGAGATTTCAGTCAGGGTTTCTGCTGCAGATTGCAGGTGCTGTACTTCCATCACAGGATCCACTTTTTGACTTAGATATTGTCATTAGTGCAATGTAATTGTTTGGACGCGTTCATTTTACAGGAGCATATTCAGCCTCCAATGATCATGGAACTTCAGAAACTCTGAAAAACATGCAGTCTTGACAAACATAGCAATTGTGATCCAGTGACCGTTGCTGGAAAGTGTGTGCACAACTGTCAAACAACAAGCACTTTAGCCACAGTTACGGTGCGCTGCCAACAATAACTAGGTTCAGGTGAAAGAATAGATATTTCAGTGAGGTACTTGAAGATACACTTTCCCCCTTGACGTTTATATTTATTGACAATTCTGCACAATAAGGACACTGCAGCTCTATTTGATGGTACAACAGTGACCTCCTGGAAACTTCTCCCATTAAAAGAATAAAGACAACAAGAGTGGCACACAAATGAATCACACGGTCTCCAACTGGGGACTCCAGAGACTTAAAGCATCTGCTATGAATTGGCTTGGAATATAATGAGCAGATTGGTAGCATAATATGGGAAGTAGTTTCATTAACTGGTAAACAGCTAGTGAGCTGCTTCTTTTCTGGATTCTTAGGCTTGGGGTGAGACAGAGAATTGGAAGTGGTACTGGCTAAAATTGAGGTTCATTGACAAGTCCACTGAGACTTGATACTCATCTTTAATTATAGCCAGAAATTTAAAAATCCTTTATTAAAGAAGTTCTAATTTTTCTTCTTTAGCGGTGTAGATCCCTATATTTTAATTTAGAATTTCCTGCTGTATTTTTAGCATGTACAATGTTTCTGTCGAGCCCAGTTGATTTGTGGAAAGTAGCTAACTATGTACTTTGAAGAATCTTTGCACATTCTGGAATTACTGATCCCGAATATAACTGCCACCTTTTCTTGTAATGCTTTATCACACATGTGCCATTTTAATCTTTGTCTTTAAATCACATGCTACAACCACTAGCTACTATGCATTGAGTACATCCTACATGGACTTCACCATCACATGCGAGTAAACATTCAGTGCCTGATGGATATGTGCCATGATCTTCTCAACCTTCTCCATTGTACTGTACTGATATGTTCAAGGTCATTCTGGGTACTTTGACTCCCCACACTGGAAACAGGTCTACAACCTAAGGCCATCACAAACATCTGCTTGAAAACATTCAACACCACACTATGGTTGATCAGGCACAGCTCAGAACACTTTCCTGCCATTCCCTTGGAGGGACATTTGAAAGAAGTAAAACACTGTTTCCTACCTGTCAATGATGACGGGATCTGAAGGAGTTTCATTTCTGTTGCCACAGCTCTTTTTTTCACAGCAGCGGCTGGAAGGAAGCAAAGCAAATCTGTTCAGCAAACAGCACAAATCAACACTGCTGGGAGGAAGCAATGGCCTTAGGACTGCATAATGGACAGATTGGAGCATCAATCCCACTGTTCGATAACGTTTCAGCGCTCGAATATTTTCTTGTGTGTGTTTGCAGTGCAAAAACAAGTCATGCAGCCCAACAACTCCATATTAATGATAATTGACCCACACTCTGTTCACTGAGTAATCATCCTTTGCCAGGATTGGAGATTCCATCTTGCTAAATTTGTATCTGGATTGAGGGATATGGAAAAACGGAAGGAAAATGGAAGTAAACTCTAAGATGAGCCATTACTGAATGGCAGAGCAGGTTCAAGGAACAATGTATCCTACTGCTCCTATTTCCTTTTTCCTCACAAAAGCATTTCAAGTTGTACAATGCTAAACAGGTTAGGGAATGACATTTCTACCTCTGCATGATTTCATAAGTGAAGGCATTTTCTCAAGGTTAAATATACTAAAAGATACTAGGTTGATTTCTTGTCCAGATGACTGTAATTTGGGCTTCCCCCATGTCGGTTGTGAAAAATTAGCCGACTTAGGTCTTCAGTTTGGCCTTTGTTGAAAATTGGCAGCTATTTTGATCATATAGGCTTCATTGTTATTTTGCTGAGATCAGCTAATTTAACATATATTGTATGGTGCCTTGGTCCTTCGTGGTCCATATGGCTTAGTCGGTGAAATTGTTTTCTGAACTTTTGAATGTTTCCAGTGAAAATTTACTTTGCACGCACAGAGCTGGAGACTCACCAACAAAAAAAAAGTCATGCTCCTTGATTAATCTCATTCTTTTTCGTGTATGTTAATGCAGGAAAGTAACTACCATGCTTGAATTAAATAATTAACTTGGAGAAATCACATTTTTGTTGCATCAGTGCAAAGTGGAAAAGATATGCTGCATGAATTCTTTTCTTCAAATGTGTATGCATTGATTATTTAACATTATTTGGATATAAAATTAGGTTAGTGACGTTGAGAACATCCTGCAGTCTTGGATCTACATTGATAAGAGTCGGGCCCACAGCTGAGACAGATTTAAATTCTTTACTTGCATAATCTTTGTGGTGGACTTTACTCATGTCACGGTGACAATTTGACTGCAGAATTTTTGAGAACTTTAACCTCCTCAACATTAATATTTTTTCTGAGAATCTCGTGAATAACCATCAACATCATGATCTCTTTCAGGCAAAATGGTTAACAATTAGCATTTACTGTAGTGGGAAGGGCTGGGTGGCTGTGATGTTGGCTTTAGTTTTTATGTTTAACTTTCTAGTGAAATTTGTGTTTGTCAGTTGGGATGTTGCTGCTTTGTAATGGAACACTTCAGCAATCATTGTCAGCAGTAAATACAATCAGAAAAAGCTTAGCATGTGAGGAAAGAACAAAGCTCCTCGACTGCTTTAAACTGAAAGTAAATGTCTCTCGACACTGTTTACATCAAACACTCCCAGGACAGGGACAGCATGGGGTGAGATGCAGAGTGAAGCACTATCTACTCTATTAAACAAAATGGAAATATCCCTTTGATTTGTCCAACCAAACACTTCCAGAAATGTTAGAACATGGGGTTGGATGCAGAGTAAAGTGTGATTTGCTCCAATAATGTGGCTCAGCTACAGTCCTAACAAATAAAAACAGAGATTTTTCTCTCTTTTGCATTTGTGTTTTTTCAGAGATATCATATCCACCTGTGCCTCACAAATTGCAGGAATTGCTGTAAAAAGGAGTTGAGGGATGGATATCTTGGCCTGCTATTTCTCCACACAATGAAGTCCTAATTTTGGTCTTATAGCTGGAGGCCAAGTAAAGACCAGGCCTTTTCCTGCTGTGCATCAAAAATGTAGGATAACTGTTTCTGTTTAATAAAAGTGCCATTTTAATGAGGTCCTTTGCATTTGTTGCATGGAAACAGATAACCCAGCAAATGATCTGCTTTTGTATAATACCTTCAAATAAAGTAAAACATCCCAAGTTGCTTCGCTGTCGTGTTACAAAACAAGATGTAGCCATGTAATGAAATATTTGAACACTGATCTAAATCTTAGTTAAAAAGTTGCGGTTTAAGTAATGGCAATTGGAAGTGAGAGAGTTGATTAGACAGATGTTCAGCGAGAACTTTCCTAATCTTGGGGCTCAATACACAGTGCAGTGGTGTAGTGATTAAAATATAGGCATTACAAGGTATAAAGGTAGACGAACACCCAGAGAAGTCAGAGAGTTGCGGATTGTAGAAGGTGACAGAGATGTGGAATACTATTGTCCTCCTTCCTTGTCTGGAAAAGCAGAACAAATCAAAGGGACAATATTAATTCTCACTTCAGGACATATCCACTTTTCGTACAGGCCATGGTGGAATCTTAGATTGGCTTGTGCAGTGCACAAATGCTACCAGCAGTAGAGCTAAGGGCCTGTTGCTGTGCTCTAACTTACAGGTTATGTGCATGGCACAATAAGTCTGCTGAGTATCATTGATGAATCGAGAGAGGGCTCAAATAGACTTTGGACTGTATCCTGAACACAATTGATTTTAATGTATCACAAACACTTCAGTTTCTAGGGATTGTCAGAAGCACACTGTGAAACTTAGGACAAACCTGTACCAACAGAACGGTCCAGCTCAAACAGCACAAAGGATAAATGATTAGTCATGGAATTTAGTGTGAAGATGAGGAGAAGGCAATACAAATCCTACCTGTTCTAATTACCTTAGAGGAAACGTAAATGGTGTACTTAGGAAGCCAAATAACTGATAGTAGGATTGAAGAAATGGCAACTCTGTCCTGGAGTAAGTGGCTTCACAATAAGATTGGTTTTCAACTGAGTAAGGAGGTTGGGCTCAAGAAGTTGGGACTGTTGGGTTCATGGGTGAAGTTTAGAGAGTAAGTTTCTGTGTGAAAGGCTGCCAGGTGAGACATTAGAACATTAACCAGTCAATGAGATCATGGCTGATCTGTGACCTGCATTTTCTCTTAGCCTTTAATGTCTTTAGTTTACAAATGTCAATCAAGCTCAGTTTGAATATTAGCAATTGATCAAACTTAAATTGCCATTTGTGGGAGAAAGTTCCAAAGTTCTGTCATCTTTTATGTGCAGGAGTGACTCCTACATTTACACCTAAGGTGATGCCAACAGTATCTTTCAGTGATTTTGGAGGTTGTATGGGCATGGGTACAATCAAATGGTGTTGGTTTTCATTATACTTATGGTGTGCAGTCCAATCCTTCATACTGTTCTCAGGACTGACAACAGCAGTTCTTTCCCCAATGACAGTTGTGCAGATTTGTACCATCTGTTGGGCAAAAAGCAGGAGAGAGCAAGTAGCATAGCCATGTGAGTAAGGACACATCTGTGCCAACTTCCTCTGTTGATCCTTAGTGCTATGTGGTTAGACAACTAAAAATGTTGTCACTCTCAGCTGAAATTTAGATTTTAACCATCTGGTTTGCCAAAGCACCCAGGTGATGTTTGTGACATTATTCCTCTTGTACTACACCTTTTTCACCAATCTGAAAGGTTGATTTCTTAAACAGAATGGCAGACATTATGGATCCCCAGCCAGATAATTAGTAAGGTTGTTGGGTTCCACTACTACTCTGCGCTCAGTACTATTTGATCTGAAAGCAAATATATCACCAGCCAGTGATATTTTCTAGAAATTGCACACAGATACAACAGCAACAGCAAATTGCACACTTCCATTGACTTGAATGTGGAAAGGTGTCCAATGATTTGAGGTTGAGTAGACTTGAGTCAACACTTTGTGGAATTTAGATCAATGAGCTGTGATAAAGTTTGAAGCCTGCATGTGATTTCTGTTTTAAGATGATAAAATTCTGAGGGGCCTTGACAGGATCAATGCTTAAAGGCTGTTTTCTCTGGTTGGAGGGTCTAAAAGCGGAGGTCATAATCTTATGGTACGATAGTGGCACTTCAAGTTGACATGAGGATAAATTTCTTCAGAACAGGCAATTTTGAATTTTTGGAAGTTTTATACTCTAGAAAGCTCAGTTGAGTAGATTCAAAGCTGAGTGTGCTCGACTTTTGGCCCCAGGGGAGTCGAGGGATATTGAAATTGGGCAGGAAAGTGTAGTTCACATCAAAGATTGTGTGAAGTTCGCATTGTATAACAGAGCAAGTTCAAGGGGCCTATCTCTTTCTGCTGTTTTTCCTCTTCCTCTTATTTTTTGTTTTGAATTCTTATGAAGTTGTCCTTTAAGCCGTCCATGGGTTTGTAATGAAAAAATGGTGGGTATGCCAAAAATAGATGTACTGGAATGGGTGACCCCATACAGGAAATGCAAGGGAGGGTCTAAAGAACAAAAAACTTGTCGAGACGCAGTAGGCTTTAGGGAGGGAATGCTAAAGGATGACTGGACTGTTGCCAATAAGAAAAGAGAGACTTGGATATCAATAGTGCCTTTCAAGATATCAGGAAGTCCTAAAATGCCTACAGCTAATTGAATACTTTTGATGTGTGCTTACTGTTATAATGCATTGAACGTCATAACTAATTTACGATAAAACTGCTTCAAGCAGCAATGTCCAGATCACCTGTTTCTCCGAGAGTTTTAGTAGTGGGTGAGGAATGCCCAGGATAGACAGGAGATAGATAACTCCTGTGCGCTTCTTTGAAGCAGTACCAGGGGATCATTGATGTTCACCTGAAAAAGCAGACAGTACCACTGACTGTGCAGCATTCCCTTGGTGGTGAAGGTGAACTTATTTCTATTAGTCTAATAGGATGAAGCCAATTGAAACTGCATGAGAGACCAGACCTGAAAGAGGGGAGAGGTAGCTGCAGAGGTTGCACAGATGTCATGGGACAAAGCCACAGAAGCGTCTGTGCAAAAAGGGTTCCTGCTGCATATTTCTGTGAATCCTGCTAGAAAGTCTGCTAGTGTGCAAACCAGATGAAAACAAGATTTACCTCTGCTGTTATTCCCAACTGAACAA